TTTAAAATCTCCTCAGATTCTCCTCGAGTCTGAGCTGTGTGAACTTTTCATCGCTCGTTTAAAAATCATTTAAGACCAAAAAATCCTGTAGTGTGTAACGACCTTAACTTAAACATAAATATTAAAACAAATACAACTAAAAGACTTCTCTAAAATGTGTGTAAAAGTGTAAATGTGTGTTAAAGTGTGTACCTGTGTGTAAATGTGTAAAAAAGTGTGAATGTGTGTAAAAGTGTGTAAAATTATGAATGTGTGTAAATCTGTGTAAAGTGTGTAAATGTGGAAAAGTATACAAACATATGTAAAAGTGTGTAAAAGTGTGAATGTGTGTAAAAGTGTGTGTAAATGTGTAAAAGTATATAAACGTGTGTAAAAATGTGTAAAACTGTAAAACAGTGTAAATGTTCAAACATTTGTAAAAGTGTGTAAAATGTGTCATGTGTAAAAGTGTGTGAAAGTGTGTAAAATGTGTCATGTGAAAAAGTGTGTGAAAGCGTGTATGTGTAAAAGAGTGTGTGTGTGTGTGAGTAAAGTGTGTAAAGTATGTAAAAGTGTGTGTGTGTAAAAGTGTAAATGTGTGTAAAGTGTGTATATGTGTGTAAAGTGTGTAAAGTGAGTATGTGTATAAAGTATGTAAAGTGTGTAAAAGTGTGTATGTGTGTAAAGTGTGTAAAATGTGTATGTGTGTAAAGTGTGTAAAAGTGTGTATGTGTGTAAAGTGTGTAAAAGTGTGTATGTGTGTAAAGTGTGTAAAGTATGTAAAGTGTGTAAAATGTGTAAGTGTGTAAAATGTGTAAGTGTGTATGTGTGTAAAAGTGTGTAAAGTGTGTATGTGTGTAAAGTGTGTAAAAGTGTGTATGTGTGTAAAGTGTGTAAAGTATGTAAAGTGTGTAAAATGTGTAAGTGTGTAAAGTGTGTAAAATGTGTAAGTGTGTATGTGTGTAAAAGTGTGTAAAGTGTGTAAGTGTGTAAAGTGTGTAAAGAATGTAAAGTGTGTATGTGTGTAAAAGTGTGTAAAGTGTGTAAGTGTGTAAAGTATGTAAAGTGTGTAAAATGTGTAAGTGTGTAAAGTGTGTAAAATGTGTAAGTGTGTATGTGTGTAAAAGTGTGTAAAGTGTGTATGTGTGTAAAAGTGTGTAAAGTGTGTATGTGTGTTTGACGTCAGGATGAGTCTCCGCAGAGTCACCATCACCTGTCTGCTCCTGTCGCTGCTCCTGTCGCTGCACCTGGACACGTCTGAGGGACACATCACCTTCTTCAGCCCCAGAGAGATGATGCTCATGAAGGTAAGATCTAAACCAGGACTAAACCAGGACTAAACTGGGTCTAAACCAGGACTAATCCAAGTATAAACCAGGACTAAACCAGGTCTAAACTGGGTCTAAACCAGGACTAAACCAGGTCTAAACCAGGACTAAACCAGGTCTAAACCAGGACTAAACCAGGACTAAACCAGGACTAAACCAGGACTAAACCAGGACTAAACCAGGTAAACCCTAAACCAGGACTAAACCAGGACTAAACCAGGTCTAAACCAGGACTAAACCAGGAAACCAGGTCTAAACCAGGACTCCAGACAGACTGGGACTGTGCAGATTAAAGTGAGGATTGTGGATTAGAGTCTCTTGAGGATCAGACCTGGTGGAATCAGATTATCTGTGTGCACTTTTACTTTTCATTTACAAAAACAAACGAGACTTTTACTTTTATTACAAACACAAAGACGGGGATTTAACCCACAACCTCCTGCACTTTTACATGTCATTAACAAAACACAGAGACGGGGATTTAACCCACAACCTCCTGCACTTTTACATGTCATTAACAAAAACACAGAGACGGGGATTTAACCCACAACCCCTGCACTTTTACATGTCATTAACAAAAACACAGAGACGGGGATTTAACCCACAACCTCCTGCACTTTTACATGTCATTAACAAAACACAGAGACGGGGATTTAACCCACAACCTCCTGCACTTTTACATGTCATTAACAAAAACACAGAGACGGGGATTTAACCCACAACCTCCTCCACTTTTACATGTCATTAACAAAAACACAGAGACGGGGATTTAACCCACAACCTCCTGCACTTTTACATGTCATTAACAAAAACACAGAGACGGGGATTTAACCCACAACCTCCTGCACTTTTACATGTCATTAACAACAACACAGAGACGGGGATTTAACCCACAACCTCCTGCACTTTTACATGTCATTAACAAAAACACAGAGACGGGGATTTAACCCACAACCTCCTGCACTTTTACATGTCATTAACAAAAACACAGAGACGGGGATTTAACCCACAACCTCCTGCACTTTTACATGTCATTAACAAAAACACAGAGACGGGGATTTAACCCACAACCTCCTGCACTTTTACATGTCATTAACAAAAACACAGAGACGGGGATTTAACCCACAACCTCCTGCTGCTGTGGGGCTTTAGTTTAGTTTCACTTTTTATCTGTGGCACTTTTACTCATTTAGAAAATAACAGAATATCACACAACAACAGTGAGCGGACTCGCCTCTCCACAGACCTGGTTTAGTTCTGGTTTAGTCCTGGTTTAGTTCTGGTTTAGTCCTGGTTTAGTCCTGGTTTAGTCCTGGTTTAGTCCTGGTTTAGTCTGGTTTAGTTCTGGTTTAGTCCTGGTTTAGTCCTGGTTTAGTTCTGGTTTAGTTCTGGTTTAGTCCTGGTTTAGTCCTGGTTTAGTTCTGGTTTAGTCTGGTTTAGTTCTGGTTTAGTTCTGGTTTAGTCTGGTTTAGTTCTGGTTTAGTCCTGGTTTAGTTCTGGTTTAGTCTGGTTTAGTCCTGGTTTAGTCCTGGTTTAGTTCTGGTTAGTTCTGGTTTAGTCCTGGTTTAGTCCTGGTTTAGTTCTGGTTTAGTTCTGGTTTAGTCCTGGTTTAGTCCTGGTTTAGTTCTGGTTTAGTTCTGGTTTAGTTCTGGTTTAGTCCTGGTTTAGTTCCTGGTTTAGTCCTGGTTTAGTTCTGGTTTAGTCCTGGTTTAGTCCTGGTTTAGTTCTGGTTTAGTCCTGGTTTAGTTCTGGTTTAGTCCTGGTTTTTAGTCCTGGTTTAGTTCTGGTTTAGTCCTGGTTTAGTTCTGGTTTAGTCCTGGTTTAGTCTGGTTTAGTTCTGGTTTAGTTCTGGTTTAGTCCTGGTTTAGTCCTGGTTTAGTCCTGGTTTAGTTCTGGTTTAGTTCTGGTTTAGTCCTGGTTTAGTCCTGGTTTAGTTCTGGTTTAGTCCTGGTTTAGTTCTGGTTTAGTCTGGTTTAGTTCCTGGTTTAGTCCTGGTTTAGTTCTGTTTAGTCCTGGTTTAGTCCTGGTTTAGTTCTGGTTTAGTCTGGTTTAGTCCTGGTTAGTCCTGGTTTAGTTCTGGTTTAGTCCTGGTTTAGTCCTGGTTTAGTCCTGGTTTAGTTCTGGTTTAGTTCTGGTTTAGTCCTGGTTTAGTCCTGGTTTAGTTCTGGTTTAGTCCTGGTTTAGTCCTGGTTTAGTTCCTGGTTTAGTCCTGGTTTAGTCTGGTTTAGTTCTGGTTTAGTCCTGGTTTAGTCCTGGTTTAGTTCTGGTTTAGTCCTGGTTTAGTTCTGGTTTAGTCCCTGGTTTAGTCCTGGTTTAGTTCTGGTTTAGTCCTGGTTTAGTTCTGGTTTAGTCCTGGTTTTCCTGGTTTAGTTCTGGTTTAGTCCTGGTTTAGTTCTGGTTTAGTCCTGGTTTAGTCCTGGTTTAGTCCTGGTTTAGTTCTGGTTTAGTCCTGGTTTAGTTCTGGTTTAGTCCTGGTTTAGTTCTGGTTTAGTCCTGGTTTAAGTCCTGGTTTAGTTCTGGTTTAGTCCTGTTTTAGTTCTGGTTAGTCCTGGTTTAGTCTGGTTTAGTCCTGGTTTAGTTCCTGGTTAGTCTGGTTTAGTTTGGTTTAGTCCTGGTTTAGTTCTGGTTTAGTCCTGGTTAGTTCTGGTTTAGTTCTGGTTTAGTCCTGGTTTAGTTCTGGTTTAGTTCTGGTTTAGTTCCTGGTTTAGTTCTGGTTTAGTCCTGGTTTAGTCCTGGTTTAGTCCTGGTTTAAGTTCTGGTTTAGTCCTGGTTTAGTCCTGGTTTAGTCTGGTTTAGTCCTGGTTTAGTTCTGGTTTAGTCCTGGTTTAGTCCTGGTTTAGTCCTGGTTTAGTCCTGGTTTAGTCCTGGTTTAGTTCTGGTTTAGTTCTGGTTTAGTTTTTTAGTCCTGGTTTAGTTCTGGTTTAGTCCTGGTTTAGTTCTGGTTTAGTCCTGGTTTAGTTCTGGTTTAGTTCTGGTTTAGTTCTGGTTTAGTCTGGTTTAGTTCTGGTTTAGTTCTGGTTTAGTCCTGGTTTAGTCCTGGTTTAGTCCTGGTTTGTTCTTCAGGAGCGTGAGGGGAAAAAGGACGTGGAGCCTCGATCTGAAGATGGACAGTTTCAGGACGTGAACCTCCAACCTCCTGAGACCGAACACGGAGCCGCACCTGTAAGACACCTGCACCTGCCTGCACCTGTCTGCTCCTGTCTGCACCTGTCTGCTCCTGTCTGCACCTGCCTGCACCTGTCTGCTCCTGTCTGCACCTGTCTGCACCTGCCTGCACCTGTCTGCACCTGTCTGCTGCCTGCCTGCTCCCTGTCTGCACCTGCCTGCACCTGTCTGCTCCTGCCTGCACCTGCCTGCTCCTGTCTGCACCTGCCTGCACCTGTCTGCACCTGTCTGCTCCTGCCTGCACCTGCCTGCTCCTGTCTGCACCTGCCTGCACCTGCCTGCACCTGTCTGCTCCTGTCTGCACCTGCCTGCACCTGTCTGCTCCTGTCTGCTCCTGCCTGCACCTGCCTGCTCCTGTCTGCTCCTGTCTGCACCTGCCTGCTCCTGTCTGCCCTGTCTGCACCTGCCTGCACCTGCCTGCCTGTCTGCTCCTGTCTGCACCTGTCTGCACCTGTCTGCACCTGCCTGCACCTGCCTGCTCCTGTCTGCTCCTGTCTGCTCCTGTTTATTCTTATTTATTCTGTGTTTTCTTTAGATTTTTTCAACATGATATTGGTCCAGGCAATATTTAATTTAAATTGTTATATTTTTTCAAATTCTTTTTCAAAATTGGCCCAGGCAATTAAATTTTTTTTGTTTTGTTTATTATTTTATTTTTATTATTATTATTTTTTTTACTTTAATTTATATTTTTTTCCAAATTGGTCCAGGCTATTTTTATTTTACTTTATTTAAATTTTATTTTATTTAAATATATTTTTACTTTTTTTTTTTTTTTTTTTTTTTTTTCTTATTTCAAAATTGATCCACACAGTTTTATTGTCATTTGAGTTTATACATTTTTTTAAATTTATTTAAAATGTGAATTTTTAATAAAAAATTGTTATTTAAATTTTTTTTATTTTATTTTATTGTATTTGACTTAAAAAGAAATGGTCCAAAAGTCACTTCACATCACAAACAGTAACACGAGACAAACAACCTAAAAAACATGTTCAAAACATGTGGAGTAAATCTGCCACTTTCTGCCGTTTTTAATTCAATTAACATCAGAACATTTCACACGTGCAGATACTGACCACAGACACATGGACCGTTTCACACGTGCAGATACTGACCACAGACACGTGGACCGTTTCACACGTGCAGATACTGACCACAGACACGTGGACCGTTTCACACGTGCGGACACTGACCGCAGACACGTGGACCGTTTCACACGTGCACGGACACTGACCGTTTCACACGTGCAGATACTGACCACAGACACGTGGACCGTTTCACACGTGCAGATACTGACCACAGACACATGGACCGTTTCACACGTGCAGATACTGACCACAGACACGTGGACCGTTTCACACGTGCAGATACTGACCACAGACACGTGGACCGTTTCACACGTGCGGACACTGACCGCAGACACGTGGACCGTTTCACACGTGCGGACACTGACCGCAGACACGTGGACCGTTTCACACGTGCAGATACTGACCGCAGACACGTGGACCGTTTCACACGTGCGGACACTGACGGCAGACACGTGGACCGTTTCACACGTGCGGACACTGACGGCAGACACGTGGACCGTTTCACACGTGCGGACACTGACGGCAGACACGTGGACCGTTTCACACGTGCGGACCCTGACCGCAGACACGTGGACCGTTTCACACGTGCGGACACTGACGGCAGACACGTGGACCGTTTCACACGTGCAGATACTGACCGCAGACACGTGGACCGTTTCACACGTGCGGACCCTGACCGCAGACACGTGGACCGTTTCACACGTGCGGACCCTGACCGCAGACACGTGGACCGTTTCACACGTGCGGACACTGACACGACACGTGACCGTTCACACGTGCGGACACTGACACACGTGGACCGTTTCACACGTGCGGACACTGACGGCAGACACGTGGACCGTTTCACACGTGCGGACCCTGACGGCAGACACGTGGACCGTTTCACACGTGCGGACCCTGACCGCAGACACGTGGACCGTTTCACACGTGCGGACCC